TGCAAAATGTCGACTGTAAGAATGGTAAAGAATTCTGAAGAATGTTACAACAAACTTTGCTCGTGGTTAATGTTAATGCTAATTTTCGATATATAGCTAGACAATAAAACCAACACCGTAGACACATTTAAGATATCACGACATAAGCGTACACCTGTAAAACTATAAATCGGATTTCGGTTGCTATTCGATCAAATCCTTTTGAATTCTAATCGATAAAACACTATTCTAATCTTGACTAATCGAGTTTTTTTTTTCTTTTAGATAAACGTAAAGCTTTCGCAACTCACCGGGAAAGGGTCCATCACCTGGTGGAAGAAAAAGAGGCGCACGGATTCTTCCTTCTTTCACAGGAATTCTATTCACTCCATTCGCCATGTACCCCTTCTCAAACGTTTTACTTGATAAAGGCTGGGAAGAGCTTGATTCCTGCGGACTTATGTGACCATCAAAACAGTTCAGGGTGAAATTGTAAGGTTTAGTGACATCAGATTTCACCAGTCGAATTCCTTTTCTCTGACCCAGTGCAGGTAACATGCTCCATAACAGTCCCATGGCTGATACTCCGCTGTAAGATCCACCCACAGACGGATGACGACAAACATCAACCTGGCCGTGTTTATCAGCGATGAAGTGAGCATGTGACTCAAACACTTGCCCGCTATCACCAACAACTCCTGCCCCCAGTGTAATCCTCTGCAGGGATTTGAGTCGAGATACCTTTATCTTTGTTATTTTGTCGATGAGTGAGAATTTCGGCCACAAGGTAAGCATCTTCTTTTAAATTAAGGACAAAATTGCTTGAGATGCTCCGAGTCCACGACCCTAAAATAAAATGATTTCTCTTACATTCTTCTTGTTTACTTTATTCCATTTGGCCTCTCGGCAGGAGTCATTAACATGCAGCGATGTGTTTTCAATCTATTGGCCAAAATTAGACTGCGAATAATCAGTCTCAACACCCAATTAACATCGAATTGATTCTGTCAGAAGCTTGATTTCTAGTTCGCTTGAATTTTTTAGTTTGGATGAAAATCTATTTACAAGATGACTTACTCTCCCTCATACTCTTCACAAGACACAAGGGTTAAACAACTGAACATGGATTTGATTTGAGTGCGACTTAGACTCATAATCATTTTGGCCCGAGCCGCTAGGCGAGAGTTAAATTAATCCTGAGGAGGACTCAAAACGAATTTATGCCCAATGACACAGACTGTGTTATAGAAAGGTAGCATATTCTTCTCAATTATTTTAAGACCTTGAGTGTTGGTCCGGCCGGGGCTCGAACCAACCTCCCGCACAACAGTCCAGCGCTTTATCCATTGAGCTAACTGGGAGGCGGTCTCGATCGCTGGCGATCGCTGGCGATCGAGTGCGATTGCCTGCGATCGTCTGCGATCATATGTGAACCTGGCTTTAACGAGTAATTTCCAGTGAAATTGGGGCTGTATCCTTGACCGGAGGGTGAAAAATATTGACAGTTTCACGGCAAAGTATGTGGACTCTTTTTAAGGTGACCTCCGGTGCAAAGATGAACTTTTTTCATGTAAAAAGTCTCATACTTTCTTGGTAATTTCTTCTAGTTGCTAGTCAAATTAAGTAAGCGACTTCAGTGGAGGGGGACAGGGGGCTGGAGCTCGGGAGAACAAGGGGCGGGAGAGGGAGGGAAGCGGGAGAACAAGGGGCAGAATGCGGTATCTACATGAGAGCGGCAACCGGGAGCAGAAATAAATAAGGCGATAGTTTGTTGTTAATTACTGGGTATTACTAAGTCATAAACACTTATCTAGCAAGGTTTTGAAATTT